AGAGCTGGATGCAGTACTCCAGGTGGGATCTCACCAGAGCACAGTAGAGGGGCAGAATCACCTCCCTTGACCTGCTGGCCGTGCTTCTTTTGATGCAGCCCAGGATGCGGTTGGCTTTCTGGGCTAAGTACACATTGCCGTCTCATGTTGAGCTTCTCATCAACCAACGCCCCCAAGTCCTTCTCAGGGCTGCTCTCAATCCATTCTCCGCCCAGCCTGTATTTGTGCATGGGATTTCCCTGACCCATGTGCAGGACCTTGCACTTGGCCTTGTTTGTTGAACTTTATGAGGTTGGCACGGGCCCACCTCTCCAACCTGTCCAGGTCCTTGTGGATGACATCCCTTCCCTCCAGCGTGTTGACTGCACCATACAGCTTGTTGTTGGCAAACTTGCTGAGGGCGCACTCAATCCTGACATCCATATCACCAACAAAGATGTTAAATAGTACTGGTCCTACTACTGACCCCTGAGGAACACCAGTTGTCACTGCTTGCCACTTAGACATCAAGCCGTTGACCGCAACCCTTTAAGTGGACCATCCAGCCAGTTCCTTATCCACCGAGATAGATCCACCAGGTAGATGATGTCAGTTGCTCTTCCCATATCCACTAACACCGTAATGCCATCATAGAAGGCCACCAAATTTGTCAGGCATGATTTGCCCTTAGTGAAGCCATGTTGGCTGTCACCGATCACCTCCTTATTTTCCATCTGCCTTAGCAGAGTTTCCAGGAGTATCTGCTCCATCATCTTGCCACACATAGAGGTGAGACTGACCGGCCTGTAGTTCCCCAGGTCTTCCTTCTTTCCCTTTTTAAAAATGGGGTTATGTTTCCCCTTTTCCTGTTAGCAGGAACTTCACTGGACTGCCATGACTTCTCAAATATGATGGATAGTGGCTTGGCAACTTCATCTGCCAGTTCCCTCGGGACTTGCGGATGCATCTCATCAGGTCCTATGGACTTGTGCATCTACAGGTTCCTCAAACTGGGTCTTCTCCTACAGCGGGTAGTACCTCATTCTCCCTGTCCCTGCCCTTATCTTCTGCAACTTGGGTGGTGTGGCTAGAGCCCTTGCTGGTGAAGACCGAGGAAAAAAGGTAACAGGGTCTCCCATTTCCTTCTGGAGAGGGCCCACATTTTCCCTAGTCTCACTTTTATCACCGATATACCTATAGAAGCTTTTTTTGTTGTCCTTGACGCCCCTGGGCAGATTTAATTCTATCAGGGCTTTAGCTTTCCTAACCTGATCCCTGGCTGCTTGGACAATTTCTCTGTATTCCTCCCAGGCTACCTGTCCTTGCTTCTGCCCTCTGTAGACTAATTCTGCTATTTGTTTTCCTCATGCCCATTAGGATCCTAAGCTCTCTGATCTTACAGTCACTGTAGCCAAGGCTGCTGCTGCTAGTCACATCTGGAAACCAATATTCCTCATTTGTAATTGGTAGATTCAGAAGAACACCACTCCAAGTCAACACATCCAGTGGTTGAGAACAACCGTAACACAACAGTGTTTGTTTTCCTAGCACAAACTCTGAAATTGCTTGTGCACTTCTGTGCTGCTTTCCTAGAAAACATTAGAGTAGATGAAGCTCTCAGGGAGAACCTGGTTCTGCAGATCTGAGACAGCTTTGAGTCATCTGAAGAAGGCATTGTCCATCTTCTTTTCCTAATTGGGTGGTCTGTAACAAATGTCCGTCATGAGGCTGATCTTGATGGTGATCCCTCTGATTCTGACCCAAGGCATTCAACGTACCTGTCATCTTGTCCATAACTAACCTCTGTGGGCTCAAACAGCTCTTTAGAATAAAGTAGCAACAGTGAATTGATACCTGGAGAGGCAGATATATGCAATATGGGTGTGTTCTGTTTTGTTTGTTTGGGTTTTTTAAGTAAAAGTGTCAGTAAGCCAAAAGGAGAGGACATCTAATTTGGCTTCTTCATATCCTCTCAAAAATTGTCACAAAGTCTAAACCAAATCTTATATACAGTCTTAATTTTGATACTTATTAGAGAATGGAGATAGAAATGAAAGTCATTTGTTCCTGGAGATAGCTTTTTTCCTTTTTTTAATGAGCACTACCACCCCCCACCACCACCCCCCATCCCCCCATGCCCAAATAACGGGTTGCTGAAAGCAGTGAGATTTGGCTGTGAAAACTTCCATGTGGCTACTTGGAAATTAGAAGGAAAAATACCAGTAGGGAATGTACCAGTATGACGACCTTGCATTTGTTCATAGGCTGGTATGAAGTACAGTTTCTTTAGCAGGAGTTTTACTTTACATACAGCAACTTTAATGCAAAACATATTCTATTACAAATCCTGGGTATAATTTTGTATATGATATTATATATGCTTTGGTTAGATTCCACTTGGCCTTCATTTAAATGTGTCAGGTTTCAGACACTAATTTTGCAAAGCCAAAATGAAAAAGGTACTCAACTCTTGACGCTGGCTTTATTAAACAATTTTGTTTTACAATTTGTGTGCTTCCTGTTCTTTAACTTTAGATTCGATACAAGACCAATGAACCAGTATGGGAGGAAAACTTCACTTTCTTTGTTCACAACCCCAAAAGACAAGATCTTGAAGTTGAGGTGTGTTGTCTCACTCTTTTTAGATACCTTTCTTTTCTAAGTTGTTTCGGTAGTAACATTCAGACATCACAGGCCGTTATGAAATGAGGCTGAATTTGTTGTGAGCACCATTAAAATTATACTTAAAGTGGTTTTTAAGACCAGGCTATGAAATTATTATTTGCATTTATTACTAAAAGAAAGAAATACTTTTAGTGTTTAGTACTTTTAGTCTCTCACCAGAAGAACATAGTTGATGATTGTCTTACTTTTTTCTTTTTTTTTTTTTCCTTTTTAAAGTAATTTTTGATACCTGTTTCAAATCTTAACAGTCTTAACTGCTGGCAGAAATTGCTGTTATGTATGGCTTATTTTTTCCTCTCTCATCCCAAGGAAGTCTTTGCTTTATCCAAATACTGTATCCCTTTACACTGCTGACATGTCATTTACATAGTTCCAAGATACTGACGAATAAATGAGTACTGTCCTAGTTACTATTCCTCTAACTGTTGTGGGAATTCATTTTCACACAGACCATTTGTAAACCATGTAGTTGTTTGATCAAGGGTCAGGTAGATATAGATGGAGATGTGATGGTTAGTTTTCTGTCTTGCTTTTGCTGTAGAAGGTAGGGATGAACAAACTAAGCCTTGAGTATATTTGCTATTCCCTTCTTCAATGTAAAGTAAACTTATGATCAGGGAAATTTGGTTTAAGACCATTCTATACTGTTTGGATTTTTTGTTTTTAAATAAAAATGTCCTTTTATTTTCTTTCTCTGAATTCTTACAAAGCAAATGATACAAAATGACTTAGCTTCTGTGTTCCTTCAGGTGAGGGACGAACAGCACCAGTGTTCTTTGGGGAACTTCAAGCTGCCTCTAAGCCAGTTGCTGGAAAGTGAAGATTTAACTATGCATCAGCGGTTCCACCTGAGCAACTCCGGTCCAAACAGCACTATAAACATGAAGATTGCACTCAGGGTACTCTAAAGCTTTTCCCCATTGTAAATATCTGAAAGCATACTTAAGACTGTTGTGACTTCTGGCCTTCTAGCTTCACGAAGAAGATAGTACATTTCCTTGGGTGTCACGGTGCCACCAGGTGTCCTTAGTTGTGGCAGTGCTGTCAAGTACACAAAGATAACCTCTAATTTAAATACATTCTCTCTCAAAAACAGATATTTCTCTGCCCAAAACAGTGATCAGTTGCATTAATCAAGACTAAGGTTCCCTGTGGTTTTAGGTTTGGAAATCACGTTTGGAATCTGAATTCCTTCGAGTCTCTTATGACTCAGTAGGCTACAAATCAGTGAAATCACCTTTATCTTATAGAAATGGAACTGAGGTCATGATGGTTTAAAGAGAATAAAGTTTATAGGGAAAGGGGAAGTACCTTCATAGTACTAGAAAAATTCAGACCAACTTTCAAGCACACTGGAGTTTGGAAAATGAAACTTGCATACCTGAAAGTTGGTTTGTCTTTTTTTCCCAGCAAAATTATTTGGTTTCATAAGCTAGTGTATCTCTTTGCAAACACTGTCAAACTTCTGTTAACTTCTGTCATTTGTTCTTTTCTAAAGCACTATCTTGCTTACTTGTCATTAATAAATGAAACTAACCTATAAAAGAGAAAGTAAGGACAGGACAATGAGTGAGAAGAACTTGTAGGATGTAGGATTAAATTTCGAAAGACTAGAAGAAAAAAATTATAGAATAGCTTTCCAGGTGGGTAGAGCTGCAAAGTAAATAGCAGTTGCACCAGAAGCATGTAGAATATGGGAAGGGAGTAATTCTAAATGAATGGAAAATTTCAGTGTTTTATAGTTACTGCAGTTGCCACAAAGAAGATGGAGCTGTGTTTTGCTGTGCAAAAAGTTTAGTGCTGTAGAGTGAATGAGTATAAGTGTGAATATTTTTGGTCCTGCATTAGTGTGTGAACTTAACAACATGTCACCAACCAGTACACCTGTAGAAACAAATTTGTTCCTGTTTTTCATACTGGAAAATAGTAATGTTATATGTATTTTTACTGTACCTAGGTCCTTTCTCTTGAAAAGCAAGCAAGATCTCCAGATCATCAACACTCAGCCCAAGTAAAAAGGCCATCTCTTTCCAAAGACGCAAGAAAATCATCTTTTAAGCCTCAGGTTCCTGTCTCACCACCACCTGATTCAAACAAACCTGTTCCAGCTTCCCCAGTGACTGATACGGATAAAAAGACTGATACGGTGGAAAAAAGTCAACCTCCCAATGCTAGCCCTCAGTGGCCAACCGATCTCAGTCGAAGTTCCTCCAGTCTTCATGCCTCTAACTTCTCTTACTCTCCCAGCCACCTCTCGGTCAAAGAACCTACTCCGAGCATAGCCTCAGACATATCTCTGCCTATCGCCACACAGGAACTACGGCAAAGACTACGACAGCTTGAAAAGTATGGTGTTAATTACTTGGTTTTGCAGTACATCTAAATTGATTTATAAAGAATATTGTCTGTGCAGCCAAAGAGAAAGCGCTTAGTTTGCATTTCAGTGGTTTTTTTTCCTGTTGCAGTTTGAGCCTGGCATTTGAAAATCAGTCATTGTGATTTTTCTGCTTCCTCACGGTACCTCAGTTAGACAGATTCTGCAATTAGAAGTTACCTTTCCTTACCATTGTGATGATCTGCAAGATAAAGTCCACCTTGTTCTCATAGATACACTGTGTAGTGCTAAAAAGAGTGGGTTGGCAAGAGGGAAGGATATTTTTTGATACAACATTAATCATTTTCATGGCAATAGTTGCCTGTTTCACCACTGAATCCTATTAGCATTAATATTAAACCAGTTAAGCTGAATATAGGTGGTCTTTTAAAATCATTCAGAGGGATAGTTGACTATAAAAAATGTCAAATGAATAGTCAGTTACTATTCTATTAATGAGGATTGCTGCATTCTCTAATTATTTTTTTTTAACTTGCCTCAACAGGCAGCTATACTTACCAGTGAAGATAGCTGAGCAGCCATTCTGCTCTGAATAGGAGAATGGAAACCATTAATTCCCTATTCATGTTGCTTCTCTGTGAATCTAAGCAGAAAGACTTCTAATTTTTTATTTTAAGAGATTAGACCGATTCATCTTTTTCTCTATCAGAGTTCATAGAATCAACAGAGTAATATAGGTTGGAAGAAGCCTCTGGAGGTTGGTCAGCCTTGTGCTCAAAGCAAATCCCACTTCAAAGTTAGATCAGGTTTCTTGAGCCTTGTCCAGACAAGTTTTGAATATCTCCAAGGATGGAGAGTCTATAAACTTCTGCAGCAATTCCGGTCGGTGCATAACCACTCCACTGTGAAAACCTTTTTTTCCTTATTTCCAATTGGAATTTATCTTGCTTCAACTTGGCTGCGGCCTCTTGTTCTTTTATGGTGTACAGCCACGAGGAGTCTGACTCGGTCTTCTCTATAATGTCTGTTTCAATGGTGAAAGACTGCAGTCAAATTTGCTCTTGGCCTCCTCTTTCATTTGTACAAACCCATTTATTTCACCATCTGCTTATGTGCTCCAGTCCCCCATTTATCTTTATGGTCGTCTGCTGTCTTGTCTTCCATTTGTCAGTCTCTCTTCTGGCCCAAAACTGGGTTGGACTTTGTTAATTATGGTAAATGTTGAAATACTACTCTTTATTTAATACACAAATGTCATACTTTCTCATTTGATAAGAATGGTAAAGCTACTGCTAAGGAGGTCCTTTATTGCAGGCCTTATGTTTTTAGGTGCTCTGATTATTATTTTTTTTTATTTTAACTAAGGAAATACTGAAATGAATTTCTTCATTCTAGTTTTTAAAAGTTAATGACTTGGGAATTTTAATGGAACATTCTGCAGGCACTTTGTAGTAGCTATTCACGAAAGAGACACGCCTCTCCCTTGAGGTTAAGATATCCTTCAGGTGGTTGGGAAGTGCTGAGCATGCCATATACTGTCCTGTGTGAAATGGAAAATACTCATAGTCAGTTTAAACAAGCTAAAATAAGCATTTTATAGAGATGAGGGAACTCTGCAAATATTGGCCATTCTTTAAAACAGAAATTCTTGATCACGGTGCTTGCTTTTTATTTAAGTGTGGCCTCTATTTGTAAATCTAAATTGATTGTAATCTTATTTTGAATGTGGCGTGAGCTACAGAAAAGTAAAATGGCTGTGTTTATACTGTGATTTAAGCTTTTAAGACAGTAAGTGGGTTTAAGTATCACTATTTTAAGCCAAGAATACTTATATTTCTATGTTAGAGAATTTAGAAAAGAACGAGCTGGTCTTCTGGTTGGTTCCTGACCATAGGTAAGAGTGGCCCATCACTCAGGTTTTCATTGCAGTTTGGACCGTTATTCTTTCTAATTTCCTAGATACTGCGTTAATGTTTATTTTAGGGTAAGCAAGTTCTTTACTGATCATGGTTTTCAAAGTACTGAAGAGCAGCTGACCTCTAAACTGACAAAAATACGTAGCTTATTTTGGAAAGCAGAGCTGTTGGACAAGGAACTGAAGTACAAGAAACGGATGAAGATACACTCGCATGCTAATGTGCGCTCTCTTCTTTAGCTTGGTCTAGGGAAAAGTTACATGGATAATATATGATTTTTGGGAAAACTACTCAGCATATATTTCAGTTTGGTCTTACTTTAAATATGTGTTTTAAAAACTAAGCATCGTGTTCTACCTTTTACTGCAGTGGAACAACTCTGGGGCAGTCTCCATTAGGACAGATTCAGCTAACAATTCGTCATAGTTCACAAAGAAACAAACTGATTGTGGTTGTGCACTCCTGCAGGTGAGCATAAAATACCAAATGTAATTTCTGCACCTATTTCTTTATAAATTTTGTCGTATCTTGACTTATCCTCTTAAATTGGTTGTCTGGATGATCTTCATTATTTTTAAAATAACATACTAATTGTAATTATGTGTAAACACAAAACCATACAGAGCTATACTCAGAACCAGTAAAAACTTTGTTGAAGATTTTGTTGTGATTTTGTATTTGTCTATTATGCCTCTGTCAGATTTTAACTGAAAAGGGCACGTAGATTAGCTTTCAGATGCTTCTGATGAAGTCTTTAAGAGACTGAATTTTTCATGGGATTACAAAAACGCATGGTTTTTGGAAAGCCATATCTAAACTTTGTATTGGAATTTAAGAAACTTGTATTCCCACTTCCGCTGTCTGCTCACCACTTATCTGACCTTGTACAAGTCACTGCTTGGCATTTTTTTTAGTTTTTCTTTACCATTGCTATCAGCTATGTGCTGTATCCTGCACATCATACTGTTTGCAGGATATCCCACAACTGATTCATGTACACAATTAAGTGATAGTCGTGTAGATGCTTTTATTCAGCAATGTTTCATTCTCTATGTGTTTTTCCTTCTTTTTTTTTTTTCACTGGTTGCAGAAATCTAATAGCATTTTCAGAGGAAGGATCTGATCCATATGTGCGAATGTATTTATTGCCTGATAAGAGACGATCAGGAAGAAGAAAAACACATGTATCAAAGAAGACCTTAAACCCAGTGTTTGATCAAATGTATGTTCTAAACCATGCATAGTAGTTTTATATTGTGTAATTACAAAGCTGTCAAATTGACGTTTCTCAGCTGAATGGATGAGCTGTTGAAACTCCTCGTTGTCACCACCAGACTTGGTCGTACCTTTCTCTTCTGCTATAACTGCTCTTCCCATCCTTCTGTTCCTTGTTATCACTACAGCCCTTCTTACTTTGTTACCAGCCACTTCTCTCTTCTTTTCTGCCTTATCCTGTGTTAGGTACGTCCCCTTTGTGCTGGTAGCTAAGCAGCAGCGTGCACTTTTCTGTCAGGTGGCCAGAACATGAGTGCCTTTCATCTGGGCAATGCCGTGGGTATCCCTTCGTTCCAGGAAGCGTGTTGATTCTGACTGGCCGATTGCCTGGCTGGTAGGTGCTGCCTGCTCGGTAGGCCTGGCCACCCAGTGTCTATGCGTGATCAAACTGCTCAGTCAGTCTACTTGGTGGCACTTCTCAGCACCCAGGGGGTCTGAAAATTTCCTTGTAGGTTATATTCTGGCCCATAGGTTGGGAGTTGTACAAGCTTGTGCAACATACTGCATAAAAATCCTTGTCTTTGCACTCAGCTTTTTGATGGTAGTTTCCCTCACATGTACCCCTTCCTCCCCCACCCATCACTTATCAATAAAGATGACCTTTTTCTACAGACAGAAACTTAATTTGGGGAAAACAACACTTCAGAATCTGTCCAAGGGAAATCTGTAAATCATTAGTTAGAGGCTCTGGTAGGTTTTCCTGGTACTGCAGCTCTCCTGTTTATTCCCGGTAATAGATCTGTTTTACTGTGCCTTTCCAAGTAAAGTGTATTGCAAAGCAATAAAGCTGTTTAAGAACTGTAGTGACAAATTAGATGTAGATTGTGGTATAATCTTGCTTTCACTTTCTGTAGACTTCAGATCTAGCAAACAAAATGTGTTCTTCCTTAAAAGTTGATAGGTTTCCTTGATGTGTCAGGAAAGAAAAGAAGCTCTGTTCTAGAGGGCTGAGGGTCAGTAAGACTGACCAGTCTTTCCCTTTTGGAGAATAACGATATTGAGCTGTCAAGATAGTACGATTCCTCATTCTCTGTAGAGTCAGTGGTTGACCTCTTCCTTGTTTTGTTTGGGGTTTGTTTGTTTTGTTTTACCTGTGGCTTCTAGAGACCAAATCTAACAGAGGTCTCCAACATTTGATGTTGATAGTGATCACATTGAAGAAGAATTTTAGGCAAAACGTTGGAGTTTTTTTCCTTCGTTTATCTCAGACCTCATTTTTTGCCTGGGGAGGGGGATGGTTTGGTCCTGATTTGAATTGTTGTTTAGCTGTAGGAACTGAACTAGCACTTCAGGTACAAAATTCTCACTAAAGCATCACATTGCCTTTCAGATTTGATTTCAGTGTTTCCCTGCCTGAAGTACAGAGAAGAACACTAGATGTAGCAGTGAAGAACAGTGGTGGTTTCTTGTCCAAAGATAAAGGGCTGCTTGGCAAAGTAAGTTGACAACAAGAAAATTCTGTTAATACAGCACGTTATTATACAGAACTAAAATCCTCGTGTGATATGAGCTTGTTAGTGTTGACTGAAGCACCTGATTCAGGTACGAAGCTTTTAAAAATCCTAGATGGCTTAGATGTCAAGCTTCAGTAAGGGAATGAACAAACTGCAGAGACATATGTCAAAAGATGAGGCAGTACTCTCTTCTAGAGAGTGGTAAGTTCTGAGGCTCGCAGTTACAAAAGAAACCTGCATGTCAGACTTACTAATCGTACAGTCAGAGGAAGAAAATAACCAGTAGAAAACAGGTGATATCTCAGAAAATGTTCAGACAAAACTAGAAAGACAAACAAGAGAAGCACACAGAGCAAATGTATGTTTAGTAATTAAAATTCCAGATTGTAAAACTTTTGAGAAAGAACTGCTACTGGGGACGTTCCCAATGCCAAAACCAGCTATTGCGTTCACAACTTCACTGTTCTATAGGCACTCATTAAATCACTCTATTTCCTACACATGTGATCTGGAAGATGCAAAACGGAATAGTAAATTCCTACACCCTTGCAAATTGCCATGTTAGAGCTCTGTAAAGAGAATGAAAGATATCAGAATTGTGGTCAGTTCATGGTGAATGGTGTTCTTAGTTTTCCTGTTTAGCAGGAAGGCTGTTAGCATTAACCCATCAGCTGATTGCTATTGCCAAGATATGCCATGTCCAGGAGCCTGTGAGGTGGTCTGGGACCATATCACTAAAGGGTACAGATTTTTAGGTGAAAAACAGCAACTTGAAACTTTATGACAAGGTAGGCAGCTATGATGATGTCATGGATGTAAAAGACATTGTTTATTAATGGCATTACTTATACTATAGTTTACAGAATTGTCAGATTTGAACTTTAAAAGACATAGAATGAAAGGCAGATATAACGCATTGATTGTTAACTTTCCACAGTTATTAATACCTCTGGCATCTGAAGAACTTGCTAAAGGCTGGACCCAGTGGTAAGTATACTATTTCCTTTATTACTAATAATACTATGTACTAATAACTGGTCTATTAATAATAGTTTTAATAATACATGCTAATGTAAAAAAAAAAAATATCCTTTGTTTCATTTGCAGGTATGATTTAACAGAAGATGGTACAAGGCCACATGGTGCAAGTTAGACCCATGGATACTGGGAATTCCCCATACATAATTTTGCCAACCTTTATATATTTTTAAAGCATCATTCTCAACAGATGTACCGACATTATTTTTATAGCTTTACTGATTTAGTTCTTAGACACATCCCGAATAATTTTGTAACACTTGGTCATTTTATGTAGACATAGCCCTTCTCATTGTTAAACTTTGTATTTTAATTTGCTAAACAATTTTATGTGTTACTGTAATGTGCAATAGTATGGTAAAGTAACCTTCTGTGTTTAAATTGATCTTTATGATGGCTGTACCTATTAGAAAGTGAAAAGATTATGTTCTGCTGTTTTCCTGCCTTGTTTTATATCTCACCAGGGTATACTGTACCATGTAAATATATACTATTTTTTTATAATTCTTTCATGCTGGTTTGAATTCAGAAGAAAATTATAAAGGATATAGATATTTTCTTCTAAATGCATGTTAATTTCTTCAGATGAATCTCTTTTGTCTTTGCAGCACAATGGTCTTAATCATTTTGTGATATTCTTCAAAAACAAACTGCAGAAAAACATTTTTACTTTATTGTGTTCCTGGCCCAGTGTGGCTAGCTTAAAATGTGCAAAACATTAACATTTTAATATTTATATACAAATGTATTATTGGGAAATCATGCTATAGAATATTATAAACAAAAATGAGAATTCTATAAATATTGTATAAATAGAGGCTGAGGTCCATGAATCACAGTTTCTAAATCCAAGTTTTCATTTAATGGAGTAAACATAACAAACAGTAATGTTTTATTATACAGGTTCACTTGGATTTTGTTATTTATTCCTGTACTCTATAGTACTAGACGTGACCTTTTGAAGGTATGCGGACATGGATTTTTCGGTATTGTAAGCAAAATCTCTAATGACTTAAAACTGTCCTTACTGCCATGTTTCACCAATTTATAAGGCATACAAATCAGCTTGCAATATAAGTTCATATAGTAGGCATACATACAAGAGATACGTTATTTTTACTACACAATGCTGTGCTAAAAATAGTATATTATGCTATACCTTCTGTAATACTAAAATTGAACACCAGTAGGTAAGAAAGTGTGAAACTGAGTGAAAACTGACTGTCTTTACAATTGCTTCATTGCTACTTAGTGTGTTCGGTGCATGGAAAAAATGCACTGCAGTGGTCCGCACAGGTTTCTTGAGGTTTAATGGTATTCTACTAAGCATTGCCGTAGTCTGCTGCAAGGCCAGCAGTGATACAATTAGCACAAACTGATAAAAGTAAACAGTTGAGAGCTGAAGGGGGAGTATCAGTCTAAACAGCTGAGCTCATACCTCTAATTTTATGAATTAGGGGGATTATTCTTTTTTTTTTTAATTCAGAACTGATTTTCCTTTTTCTGGTAAGTTTTCTCAGACTGTTATAAAAATGTGCATTAAGAATCCAAGAGAACAGTTCAGCTCTTTCAGAGCCAACGCCCTCATTCTTGGATACGTATGCAATTAGACAGACAAAGTATATTATTTACCTAAGATTCTAGAATGATCTCTCAGCCAAGAAAGAATTTTAAAGCAGAATAATAAACTCCTGAAATTAGCTTTATTGTAAGATTACTGACAGAACCTTAATTCTAGATGTAGAATATGCCTACATCACTAGATGTACCAAAGTGCCTACCATAGATGTAGCTTTTTGTCTTTTTCAGTTTTAAGAATTGACTCATTTCAGTTTGTCTAAATTCAGTTTAACACGAACATTTGTCACAATGTGTGACACGCACACATACACCTCTATACAGTGATGGCCTTCTTATTGCCACATTTTATACAAGACAATTTAGTAAACAAACTTGCATTGTAAATTTTGCTGCTGTAACTTTCTGATGGGCCTGGGCAATAGGGAGAGGTTCTTTGTAAGAAAACATTTCCATTTGAAGGCTTCACTCTATATTGGAATGTATGAGTATCTCTCTCTATATATATATACACACACTCATCGGTTCATATAAAATGTAATATATTATGAAATACATATTTTCTTTGCTAGTTCTCTATTAAAATGTTAAGAACGGAAAGACAGAGAATTATTGTTAATGCAATGAAAATGCAGAAAGTGACAGCTGATCTAAATAAAAGAGGTCTAAGTGCGGCAGTTCAGCATAATTGCCTTTTGCCTTGGTTCAGCCCAAGGTAGAAGGACTTTTGCTCTACATCTTGGCCAGTGACTCCCCAGAGTGTAATCCATAGCCCACAAACGGGCTGTTAGACTAATTCGATGTTTTAAGTCTTAAGTGAAGTCTGGAGACAGATGTTAGAAGACTGCATGTAAATAAAACCAGTGCACGTTTGTCTTCTAAAGTCTCGGGGGGGGGGGTGTGACGGACGATGACACTGTTTGGGTAAATGTGAGATGATAGCACAAAGTGAATAAATTAATAAAGAATATAGAACACGTTTCCAAAATAGCTCACAAGCTGAAATTAGGGATAGGTTCTGAAGAGAGCCCAGTTCCAATTCAGGAATCTAAAATTAAGAGATTGAATTGTCATTGTAATTCAGCAACAGTATTTCCCGTTGACTGCAATCAGTCCTGGATGCCAGACGCTTTAGAAATGTTCTCCTGAGTGAATTTGGATCAGAATATGACTGCCTAGATGAGATTGATTCTTTTGATAGTGGAAACAAACCTCTGTATTGTTACAAAATTCTGATTGTTCTCTTTATATGGAAGTAGGAAGGACAAACATCACTTCTCCTCTGGGCGAAAATTGCACCTCATTATCAAGTCAATGTATTCAATATCAGCTGATAGCTTTTCATGTAGTTCTTGTTTATCCTGTGCCTTAAAATATGAACATATGAAGATGTTTAAGAAATGGCTAAAAATAAGCTTTGTTACCTGTATGTACCAACATGTTCTCTACTATTGAAACTGTTTTTAGAATTACTCTGCTTCACTGACAAGAAAACCAGCTTTCTTAGTTATAGCAGTGGTATAACCCAAACTCAAATCAGCATGCATATCACCTGGATTTGGATTAAAAGAATTTTCATTTTCTGTCTTGAATCCTTTATCAGAGCTGCAGCAAATGGTGAGAGTTGAAATGAGAACAAAGGGTAATCAATTTCGTACAGATTGCCTTTTTTGCTCATGTAATTCTACATTATGATGCATGTATTTATTCAATAAATGGTTCATATGGAAGTCAGTGTGTTGCTTCTCTCTACACACAAACTCCCTTTTCCCCTCTTTTTCATATCCCTGACCTATTAATTAGTTATACAAGGAGGTGAATTTTTAAAATATGTATGCGTGTAAAATATGTAAAGTATGCTGCCGACCCTAACATGGGTGGCCTTGCTGTAAGGTGTGTAGGCAGATTTTTGGGGAATGAGAAGTACAGGGTACTTCACTGGGGAATTCCTCGCTTGTTGGTCTGGAAGAGATTCACATATAAGAATTAGAATGTTCTTTGTTCAACTCAAGTGGCTAAAATTTTTTCTCTTAAAATGATCAGTTGGACAAATTGTCACGATTCTAGCACTTACTCATCAATTGTCACGAATTATGTTTTCAGAAGGGCCTAGAACCGTTGCCTTGGATTTAGAACCAGCGGATTTCTACGAGTGGCAATCTTTCCTGTCCTTCCACCTGCTGGTTAAGGCACATACTTATAGAAAATACAACTGTGTAGTGCATAAGTAAGAAAAGGGATATTGGATCCTCTGTCTATTACAGAAGAACAACCATAGAAATTACGCTGTTTGCATTAAACATTAATTTTTAATTAATGACAATACCATAATTAATTATGATACCTCTTCCCTTAGACAGCTACAACTTGTCTGAATTCCTAATAGTCAGTCAGTTTTCATCAGCCATAAATAAAAGCTGCGGAAGTTCATCACCAGTCACTATCACATTTAGAAGGGAGCCCACTGGATAATCTTTATTGATACGAACTACCAAATTATGTTCAGTTGGGTTTTTTGTTTGTTTTTTTTTTTTTCTTTTTTTCCTAAGGGAGAGATCTTCCTTTTTTAGCAGAATAAAGGGCTTCTGCTAATCAATGGGAAGGCAGCTAAAGCCACATAAAAGCGTGCCTGTCCTCCCGCCTCCCTCGTGGCAGGGTGTTTCTGGTTGGCACGCTCCCTGGCGGTGCCGGTACTGCTCAGGCGTCTGCATTTCCCACACTTGGATCCAAATCAAACCTTCCCTTCAGTCCCACAAGGCGACTGCATCAGCGCCTGCAAAAGAATGCTGCCTGTGTAGCCACAAGATCTTGTTAGAGAGCAGAAATAATTGCACGAGACACTCCTCCAGATGGATTTGGTATTAATTTAATGGGCTCAGCCAAGCCCGATGTTTTCTTAATATTTGCTGTACTGTTTACACTGGTTTGGGCCATCGTTTAGTTCATCCGGTCTCCACCTAAGAGCAGTATTTGCCAATACAGTTCCCAATATGGTTGTTTTAGGTATTTTCTCAGCTAAAAGCTGAATACAAAATTGGTTTCCTATGAGGTTTATGTTTAAATCAGTTTGTTTATTTATGTTCTCCCCAAAACAAACTCTGAATGTTACATAGTACCTTTGATATTTGGTAGAAAGAAACAAAATTAAGATGTATTTGTGGCTGTGGCTGGTTGCTGAAGGAGTCTGACTTTTTAATCACAAATGGTCTTTTAATACATCGTAACAAAGTGCCTAACTTGATCACTGTATGCTCTCCTGCTGATTTCTAAGGCGAACTGTCAGGCTCTCAACAATATTCTCAGCCACCTTCTGAAAAATGTTATTTGAAAAATGCAAAGCAGCTGAAGTAAAAAATCCACTTGTATTTCTTTCAGTGTTATGCGGTGAATTTAACTGCCAGATTAGATGGCAGCTGGGGGAGAAAAGCTCTCTAATCTGTATTCATGCGATAGAGGTGCTGCTCTCTGTTCTCGCCCTCTGCAGGGAATATTGCCTGCCAGTCACCTACGCTGGAATCCAATTTGAGCAGGCTACCGCATCGCTGTTCCCTCGGATGCTGCCGAAGGGAAGGCAGCCTCTCTTCCCACCTTGTTTCTTTGAGTCCTCAGTAGCCATAAACTTTATTGCAAGGGAATTAAGGGCTAATAGTGACCATTCATCCCTTTAAGATTCATACCGAAATGGGTTCAAGGACAGACAAAGCCAGTCCAGATTCCAACCTTTCCCAGCCGGGTTGCGGTAGGGGTGGTTCTTGGCTCGGGGACAGTGGTGTCCGTTCCTGACAGGGCTTGATAGTCCAGCTGCCCTCAGAGCTGGGCACGTAGCACCTCGGCCCGAGGGCAAGAAGTGACATACAGAAGAAAGTTGTGAAGTCCCAGCCCCCAGCTGTCCTGTGATTTCGTCTGTCAGGTGCATAGCAAGAAGCTGGTGTGTAACTGGTGATCAATTGTATTTATTTATTTTCTAAGCACAGTAGTTCCTTTCAGCTGAAGGTTGAACTC